CCCTTCTCCTCAGGCTGCTGCGCCAGGGTTCAAGGCGCCCACCTGCATTTCAAAGCCCCGTTTTTAAAAGCTTCAAACCAAGAGTGACATTTACTCACGGTCTGGTGTTTCGGAGCTCTGAAGATGTGCACTTCCCAAGCTGCTCTCGATAATCGCGGTTTGTGGGGAGCGGGAAGCCAAGGTCCGATGCTTCAGGTGGAAGATGGCGAATGCGCCGGCAGCTGTCCTGGTGCTTGTTGACCCCCTGGCAGATCGCTGGGCGAGGTTGCCTCAACCGGCTTCTCAACCTGCAGCTTAATGTAGCCCTAATGACAAGATAAAACAGGATCTCGCAAAATAAATCGTCGTCTGGAGGATCTGTGGGGCCGTCCCAACGCGTTCCACGTGCCATCTACTTTTCGTGAACAAACATGAACAAATGTAGCACAAAACCAACGAAACCACAGTGACTCGTGATGTGTACATACTGGAGACAAAAGTCTGTGGTGGCGAGTCGAGCAGATTAGCGTTTGGTTTGATCTAGTGCGCTTCCACCGTTTCAACAAACAGAAAATGTTTATTAAATGTCGCGGTCAGGAAAAATAAGCCGCCTTCTCTACAAAACAGTCAGCAGTGTTGCTATGCCAATCTCTATTTCTAGGCACAGTTCCTGTCTGCTATGCCAGTGATGACGGCCAACAATTTCTTCAGGTTTATTTTGATGACAAGCGCTCTTAGATTCCCATACACACGCATGACTTTTCCTCAGGATACTCCTGATTTTTTGCGGGACCGAAGCCAGTATTTCCATGGATAAAAATAGTTTTAGGCTCTGAATTAAAGAGCTGTGGATCTGCTGTGAACAACAATGACTGTTAATGGAGCTGACTTCCAACTGATTCCTTGCGGTGGCGTCATCTAGGTGATGCTTACACGATGAGGCTCTGAGCTCCAGTCTCTGTTATCTATGTGCCCTTGGCAGTCACCGCTTTTTTTTTTCTTTCCCCCCGCATTCTGACGTGTATCTTGCCATCGCAGAGATGGAGCATGGATGTTCTTCCTCCTCCGTCTGCTGTATTAAGCCACGTAGCGGAACATATGTTTCAGTTTACCTAAACGGCAGAAAAGGTTCATTTTGGAAACACATAGCGTGGCAATTCTAAAAATGCTAATTCAGACATCTACTTGAACATGTACATTCCTTTCCTTTTACTAATCTAAACCTAACAGAACACTGTGCAAAATTATCACTCGTGTTATCACGTAATTTGAGGGGGGGAAATCTGTTATAAGAGCGCTTTCTCTGCAGCCTTGCAGCAGAAGGGCTCATTTTCTACGTTACGAGCGAAGGACCCCTGTCCCCATCTTTGTTCCTCTGTAATTAACTGATCTGTTGCAAACAGCTGAGAAGGATTGAGAAGAAATAAAAAAAAAAAAACCAAACCCCAAGGATCCTTGCTATAAGTGATGGACTCATCAGCTTTGGGATTATAAACAGGGAAAATTAGTCTGCTCCCTGCGCTGTCTGGACCTGGCAGAACAATCAAGTGTTGGGGGCAAAGGAAGAGTTGTGGTACGGTCTAGAAATATAATCTGTTGGGGGTTTTTTTCCCCCTTATGGAAAGAATAATTTTCTTTCAATGTGGCATTTATTTGTGATTAAGGGAAGTGTGTACGTGGGGGGAGAAATGAGAAGTGTCTCCAGTACTGTGAGAAAACACAATTTATCTGTTCTGTAACATACTTTACAAAATAGCAATTCCTTCCTGACATTCTTTGGGAACCTAAAGATGCAGCAGGTGAAAAAGAAAGTTGTAAATTCCTTAGCTACAGATGCTATAGTACTCATTGTGTAGAAACAGTGACGATAGCCTTTGAGAGGGGAATTCTTGAGCTACACAGAACTGGAAGGCTGGTGTGAAATCAACAAAAAAAGGAATTAAAACTGGAGGAAACCCCATCTGAAATCTTTTGGAATCCTAATAAGAGCTAATCCTAATAAAAGACTTATAGTGAAGCCTTAACTTCTGTAAAACAAATTTTAAACTAAACAACAAAAAAATACTTGTTGTTTATTTGTAGCGATAGGAGACTTTTCAATGCTGTTAAACTAAATCGGTATTATTTTAACTAGCCTTGCTGAACTACCTGCCAGCAGGGCTTGGCAAAAACTTGTCCTGGCCTGTCTGCAGAGCAATTCATCGGCAGTAGTTATGGATGGCTAATGGCTGTGTATTGACTAGCAGGTGATGATATCAGAGATGTTGATTGGGCCTTGTGGCATGTGGATTTCCAAACTGCAATAGGATTACCAACCTTCACAATTAAGCGACACATGGTAATTAACGCTCTAGACACAACCAGTCTGCCCAGTTGGACAGCCAGGTAAGAACAAATAGGGGTCACTCCGAACAATAGTTTCCTGTGAACCACTTAACCAAAGAGCTCCACAGGCCTCACAGCCACTAATTAATCCAAGCGTCCCACTGCTATCCCATTATGATGGTAAGGGGGAGAGCGGCAGTGCTGAAAACTGGAAGGCAGAAGTCACAGAGCTGTGACTACTTCTCTTCCCGGGAGCCCCCAAACTACTGCTAGATGACGATTAGAGACTTCACACCTCATTCCGGAGGGGAAAAAAAGGTGTCTGGTTTGGCCAACGTCCTTGTTTTCTGCAGTGATGGAAGAGACAAGAGCTCACGCGCGAATTAGCACTGTCCTCAAACAGAATTCAAGCTCATTTGAGAATATGGGTAAAATATCAAACATCAAGAGAGCCTGTGTCAAATGACATTAGCTCTAGAATCCTTTACCCCCTTGAGAGCTGCTCATTCTTAACTGCTTAAGAGGCATCGTATGGAAAAAAAAAAAAATCAGCTCTGTTTTAATTAAATGGGATGATTTGACAGTTTTCTGTTTAACTGAGGGGAGTAAAAGCAGGTTCTTTAAATAAATAACCTCAGTGCGTACATTTTATACAGAAATATGTGTATTAGAAAACACATATAAAGGCTACATACACACGCATATATATATATATGAGAGAATGAGAAATATTTTGCAGATTCTGCTGCTTTCAGAAGCAGCGGGACCAGCGCCTGGTGATAAAAGACACCAAAGCTTTTGTGTGTAGGCTTCCCCTCACCAGGCCCTTTGTGAGGGAACAAGTCTAGGAGATGAAACGATTTGTAAATCTGCCAGAATTGAAAACTTGTTCCCCTGACAGAAGCCCCTAAAGGAGAGTGGCATTTCATCCTCTAGTAACCGTAGGAGTAAAAGTCCCGGCTGTTACAGCCCCTGTCTTCAGTACAGGTGTGTAATTTCACACTTTTTGCTTTTTCCCACTTCGTTTTTGTTTTGTTGTTTTTTTTTTTTTCCACTTTTTCCACTTCGTGGAAGTTGCTCAAGTTCAGAATTCATAAATAAACGAATTTATTCAGATTTATCACGTGCTTCCTCCATGACAGAAGAGGAGGAAGGCTCGCCGATCGAGGATTAATGTAAACATGAGGTTGGTGTCGTGGAAAAGGTTCGCTGGCAACAGGGACAAATCTAGGGATAAGCATTGATGGTGCACGTACATCTGTCTCAGTGACCACACCCCGAGATCAAAATAGCTGTTGAAATTAGGAAGGGAGGGTGCAGAAAAAAGAAACCCGTCTTGTTTGCTCAGGAGAAGGGAGCTATACTTAGCGGAAAAGTATTTTCAGCCGACAAGACCCAAACACAAATCAATGG